GTATGTTTCTTGTTTAGGAAGAAATTATTTCAACAAAATTGAAATAACTAATATCATATTTATTTTATTATTTTTCCTCTCAAAAGAAAAAACTTTGACCAGGGCACGTTTTGATTGATATGGACCTGAGTAAGTCAATAATTCAGATCATTTCTATGGTTCAGCGACGTTCTTTTCATGACAGCGTCGCTGTCGGAATATTGCGGAACTAAAATACTGCTCAGTTTCATGGCTTCACGTCAATTTCACTCGTAATATACAAACGAAATTTTCGGATGCACCTTTCTCTTAAACTAAAACTCCTACCGCGTTTCTAAAAGCATGGGATTGTTCGTTTAGGTTTTCCGCAATACGCCAGCTACTTTTCATGAACGTGCAAGATCTGAAACTCTTATATGCAACACATATTGTGATGTGTTGACTACAGAAGCCGATAACGAAACTGTAAGTCTTTAATTTTTTTTCGTTTTTCGTATTCAAATGTAGCTGGCGATTTGCGTTGTTGTCGATACCTTAATTGTGGAGAAGGATTTTTCAGTCCATAAACACAGTTATGAGAAAGGTGCTTTTAAAATTTAATGATAAAACAGGACACTCCAGCATCCCCTTAAGGCACTAGCGAAATACAATTCGCAGGATAATTGCTCGTATGCACTTTATGTCTATGATATAAATCGTGAAAAATCAATACACCCCACGATAATTTCCAGCATCATAGAGAAAGCAGATATTCCTGATATACAGGATATCAAGAAAATAGATAAAGGAAAAATACTCATAGAAGCAAAAACTGTTTTGGCTGTGAATAGGTTGGTTGATAATCTTATTTTTTCTAAATATAATCTGAAAGCCTTCATTCCAGCATTCCGAGTCTTAAGAGTGGGAATCATACACATACAAGATGTTCCAACTGAGATTGATTTGGAAACTGTTCTTAGACATTGAAGTTTTTCGTAATAGTAAAATTCTGAATATCCATAGGCTCAATAAAAGGACAATCAAAGACGGCAAAGCTGAATATATACCCTCAAAGACATTGCGTATAAAATTTGCAGACCAGATTTTGCTGCGTGAAGTATTCTTGTTTAAGACTAGGCATGAAGTACATCCTTTCATCCCTCGCATCTGCTTTGCCTGCTACAGAGTCGAACATATTGCAAAAGTATGCAAGGGCCAGCCATGCCTCTATTGTGGAGGCAATAGACACGAAGCGGAAGCCGAGAGCTCTTGCTCTAGACGTGTAGAGGGCGACAAGTGCATTAACTGCAAAGGTAATCACCTCGCAACTTTCAAGGATTGCCCGATGGTTTTGGCAGGATCAAATTATTATCTTGGCCGCCACCGAAAATATCCCCATCGCAGATGCTAGAAGAATCATTAATGATAATAACAGATATTCTTCCCAAAGCAGGCCTAGGATGGACTTAAATAATTTCCCATATTTAAGGAGGAAACCTAATTTTATTCTCTGGAATCAAGTTTTGAAAGTCCTAACTCTTTCAATATTTTAGATTCGGATGATTACGAAAGAGAATACAGGTCTTATGCAGATGTCACCAATTCGAGTTCAAGGTCGCGCATTGATTCTGGTAGCTCCAACAGCGGGTTCAACAAGAGCCGTTCCTCTCCCCACGCGGCAGCCCCTTCCAGCGCTGTGCCTTCTCGCAGAAGCTCCAGTCAATATCTTAATAACGTGGTTATGATAGAAGAATACATCAAAATGTTCTCTATGATTATCAAGGAGGTAATGAATGTTTCGCAACTGATGACTTAGCATATCAAGATGCTCCCCCTTCTCAGCATGGCTTTCGTAATGCAAATTTTTTTGAAGGCACGAATTTTATACCGGAACTTATGAATTTAATTTCGGAGTTGATTCACTGCTTTCAGAATCGTGATTTTTTTCGAGTATCATGAATATAATGTTTTCAATTATTAGAAATATTAGCTTCCCCAATAATAATGCGCACGACTTTACCAACTATCCTACCTCTCCCCCTCCTCCTAATTACCGTCATAATCAAATTGATCCACCTGAATCTTGGAATCACAACCACTCCTCCCAATACTCTGACAGCTATAGGAACAATTTTCAGAATTAATTCTGACAATAAAAAAAATTATATTTCCCCCTCATCTTTTTCCCCTCCCTCGGGGTCTAAGAAACAAAACATTTCATCTTCCGGATAAACGATTAAAAAAATCTTCAGAGCAATTTAAAATTATACAATGGAACTGCAGAGCAGCCCGAGGTAATCTGGCATTCCTACAGACCCTCTCTCAAGATTATAATGTGATCTGTGTTCAAGAGTCTACTTAAGCCAGGTGACTATCTGAAAATCAAATCTTTTAACGTTAGGGCAGATATCATGCAAACGGGACACAGTGATATCTGTACCTGGATTCGAGAGAACATCAAGTTTGAAACTATTCATTTAGCCAATGTTGAACATGCATCCGTGAAATCAAGTCATTAAACTTTACTCTTGTAAGGATCCTATCATTTTATAATAGTAAATATCTATAGACACCCAGATCAAGACACTCCTCTCACATTCTATCTGAATTTATTCAATGCCTTGGCAGAATATAATCAAGTTTTGTTTGTAAGAGATTTCAACGCTCATCATTCGAATTGGGGTTGCGCTTCTCAATCGGGCCCGGGTAAGAGGTTAATAAAGACCATTGAAGGTCATTGAAGGCATTGACAATGATTTTATAATTCTTAATAATGGTTCTCCTACCTTATATATATATATATATATTTCTTATATATATATATATATATATATTACCGTATATATTTCTGCTCGCAAATCAGTCATTGATTTCGCGTTAGTTTCTCCTCTTCTTGTCCCCCTGTGTAACAATTCTGTGTAACAATTCTCGATGATACGTACGACAGCGATCACTTTCACTGTCGTTACAGAAATTAGACGCTTCCCCTGCTCTTCTAAAAAATTCTGTTACAAAATGAAATTAAAATCGGAAATCTGGATAAGCTTTACGTTATTCTAAAGAACACTGCTCATGAAATCTCGTGCGACGACACGATGGACGTTCTCTCTCAATACAATACATTTTCTAAACATATCCTGGAATCTGCTAGCAGTTTGCTACCTGTTGGCAAGAGTTTACCGCGTAGTAAGATCAACTCGAATCGTCTAGATCCTCCTCCTTGATGGAATGAAGGATGCGATAACGCAGTTATTAAATTCAAAGAATGGAAAAAATCGCTTAAGGAGTTCACTCATTGCGTGTCTTGATAGAGTCCAATTGACAATTTCAGAAAAGCCAAAAAGAAATGTGCCGAATGCTTGTCTGAGGTAAAGCGCCTTGGTTGGAGAAAGTTAGTAGGAGGATTTAACAATGCTACCTCCTCGCAACAAATATGGTCTCTCATTAGATGCTTTAGACATAACAAGGATTCCTTTCCCTCCTGTAAGAACAACCTCTCTAAAGCATCGCTTGAAACAATAGACAAACTGTGTCCCCCTATTGCTATTACGATCGTTCGAAGCATATAGACGACATGAAGCAAGATCTTCTCCAAAACAACATACATCACTAGCTAGGAGAAACTTTCTCATCTGACGAATTGTCAAGAGCCATCAATGTGGTCAAAAAGCGGTCCGCTCCTGACTTGGATCAGATTGACTATAACATAATTTTCAATCTTCCAGATGAATATTGAATTCAATTTTGAGCTTATATAATAAAATCTTAGCTCAGGATGTGTTCCCGGAATCCTGGTCGGACTCGCTTGTTGTATTGATCCCGAAACCAGGGGGAGAGTCCGTTCGATCCATTTCATTACTTTTCTGCTACGCCAAAATTATGGAATATATGATTTATTTTAGACTTAGATAGTTACTGGAATCTCGCCCTATTCTGCCGCAAACTCAATCTGGCTTCCGATCTTCCAGGTCTTGTATTGACAATTTGGCTACTCTTACTACCAATATCAGAACTGGTTTCATCAAAAATTCGCTCACAGTTGCGGTCTTTTTAGACATCATTGGTGCATTCGACAATGTCGACCCTCACATCTTAATTAAAGATCTGATGGAAATTGACATCTCTGTACTTATTAGGAAATTCATAGAAAATCTTATTAGCAGACTTAAAAGACATCTTTATTGTGTAGTCGATCGCTCTCGGGCCCATTTGATTCTTATAAGGATATGCCACAGGGCTCCACTATATATCTTAGAGATATCAATTTTAATCTACACCCGGAATTTCGGAAATTACAATATGCAGATGATGCCGTTATATACTCTACACAACGCAACATTGAAGTGGCAATTTCCTCTGTGTAAAACTCAATTTTAACATTTTTACATATCTCAGATACAGAAGACTTGAACTCTCGTCAAATAAATCGAAATACGTCATATTCTCTCAATCCAAAAGATACTCAAAAGCTCCTGCTATTAAAATTGACAATTCTATCATTCCTAGAGTCTACTCTCATAAATTCCTGGGAATTATTTTAGATGAAAAACTATCAGGCAATTTACAGTTTAAGGCTCTTATTGAAAAAAGTAAAAAGATCGTAAGTATCAACTCTTCATTATCTAGCGTTAAATGGGGATCACATCCTGGTCTCCTCCTTTCCGTCTATAGAACGACCTTTAGAAGCGCGGTTAAGTATGACTCACAGATCTTTTCCCGGAGCACAGATTCCGCGGATTTTGTCAAACTTCTCCGTATTCAATACAAGGCTGAAAAGCAATGGGATACCGCATTTCCACACTTATAAACGTCATGCTGAGCGAGGCCCAGGAGCCCCTCTTGCACCATAGATTTAACTTTATCGCCTCCAAGTTCATATATAAGTCTATGGCTCATAAATTCAGCACTTCATATGAAGCCCTGCGGAAACTTGAATGCATAGCCTCTCAAAGAAATCGTAAAAACCGAAGCCAATAAAAACTCAAAACTCTTCAAAGCTTATATCTCCCATAACCCAGACGGGAAAATCATACATCGCGTCACATATCCCCCGGCCTTCTGGCATGAATTCGAAGTAACGTCACAACCTATTACATATGTGAAATCATATATATATCCATGTAAATATGTGAATCCATGTTAAAATGCAATCAAAAAAACCAAAACGCACTCTATGGCGGCTGACTTCTTGTCTAAAACGTCGGGATGCCTATCTCTATACAGACGGATCTAAGGAACCGGGCAGTAGGAGCCGGCGTCTATTCACCGGACCTGGACTTCTCCATTGAACATAAACTCCTCAGGGAAATTTTTATCTTTTCGGCGGAACTCTGGACCATACTTCAAGCCACGCTTCTCGCCAGGGACTGCGGAAATAAAAATATTGTTATATTGTTTTCCGATTCCAAAAGTGCTCTTAACGCAATAAATAACAATAGATATATCCAGAATAATTTTATTATTTACGACGTCAGACAGAATATTTTGAATGCCTCAAAGGAGGGAATTGAAATCACACTTTTTTGGGTTCCATCTTATTTGGGTATTCCAGGAAACGAGAAAACGGACGAGATCACTAAACATGCTTCTATAGAAGGACGCGCCCGGCCTTTAGAATTCCATATGAAGATATGTTCACTGAACCCAAAAAAATCTTGGAGGCGCGATTTAGGACATAAATCTAAATTCAACGGTAGCGTATAAAAGTACATTTCAACATGAGTGCTTCCTTATGAACTCCAATAAAACCTGGTTTAATAAAACCTCTCTAAACAGAGAGGCGATCGTCATGGTTAACAGTCTTAGATCCAATCACTATAATCTCAATAGCAGCCTTCATAGAGTGAACATTGTGGACTCTCTAGCATGCCCCTGCAGAGCAGAGGTACAGGATGCCAATCATGTCATTTTCCAGTGCGAGCTCTACAGTCAAAAGTCATCTCCCCTTCGTAATTATTGTAAATCTAAATTTCCCGAATCCGCTGATGACATCTTCCCCGCCCTGTCCCATCCTTCTCCTAAACTCTGTAGGCTTCTTATGGTCTTTACGAAAGCCTCTGATCTATGCTTTTGATAATCCCCCCTCTCCCATGACGCGCGCGACCACCGTCGTAGCAGCAGATGCCCGATTTGGGCACGACTTCCCACTCTTAGAGTCTAACATAACCGATTTACATGCAATCTGAAGCATACCAGTATAAGGCGGATACTCAATGACTCAGTTCCAAGCTGCCTGATTGCGGAGCCAATAAAAAAAAAGAAGAAGAAATGATCATTTCTTCTCAAATATACCACAGCCTATATACAAAATCAGATTGATTGATTTTTTACTTCTTTCGCGGCACTGTGCAACGGGAGGCGACAATTATATGTTGCCTATTTCTATAACATTCCTATGGTTATTCTTATCGCTGTTGCTTCGCATTGTATTTAAGATTTTACATAGCTGTTCACTTTTACAATCGCTGATTGGAAACAAAACGACCGAGTGATCGTAAAACTCAATTTCACAAAATTCTTCTTCATTGTAAAAATAAAATCCATAAATCAATATTATATGGTACCATGTCTCTCTCTCTCTCTCTCTCTCTCTCTCTCTCTCTCTCTCTCTCTCTCTCAACTTTTTTTTAAAAGGTAAAATCTAAAATAAATACTTATTCACAAAAGAACTATTCATATATATAACATCTTTATTTTTCAATAAACACTTTGAGTAATGTAAATCTCATCTGCTTTTTATTCGTAATCTTACCCCCTACAACAGGCACCTTTCTTCGCATTTCAGACTTAGATAACATATATTTTGAAATAAAAGTACAAAAATTTTTTTCTTCAAAATGATGCCGGGATCATCACAACGCAGACAACGTGTCGCAGCAATTAAACATGTTCGTTCCTGTTTTATCTCTTCTTCCAAGTAATACAGATGCTTATCGTAAATTACAAAACATGATTTTACGATGTTTAATACATTTAAAAATAGTCTAACACAATAAAAATCAAATACATAGTTTATAAAATTAAAAAGCGAATTATGTAATTAACGCATATTCTTTCAGCGTAAATTACAAAAATTTAAAGTCATCTAAGAATTCCCTTTTTTTTCATATCGTAATTTACAATTTCATATCGTAGTTTACATTGTCTATATAAAAAAAAATTGTGCAAACACACACGGACTTAAAAAACGCTACGAATTAATTCCAACACCTAATAATATGATATAAATGATATTACTATGATAATATAATATGATATAATATGATATTAATTGTATAAAAATTCTAGAGATTACGCATTATGTGTTTTGGCTTCTTCATTGAGTCATCTTTAGATACTTGATACAGATGTGCAGTCAACATATTACTTAAGATATAGACAATACTACTTCAAAGTTATTGGCCAACGGATGGAACATTCCACAAAGAATTGAGAAGATTGCTCGCATATGCAGGTTTATAATTTTTTCAGAATTGGTGATTTTTGAAGATTTTATTGCAAAATGAGTATGGCTACCAAATAACTTTTTGAAAAGTTGGTAACATTGATATATTTTACCCGCTCCTACTTAGCTTTTTACAGTGTCGAGCAGTATAACACTGTGTTACCTGTGTACGTTGGAAAAACACCCAACCATAAAACTGTTGCAAAACTGTTGTGTTCTGTTGAACATAGCTATTGTTAGCGTCTTTAGAAACAATTTCTTCTTTAGGAACAATTCATAGTTATTTGTCAAACGCTGGACTGCATGCATCAAATTAAGCATAGCAGTATGCATGTATGCATGCTTATCATTCAAGAAACCGAGCATAGTGTGATTCCAGCTTTATTTTTATGGAAATGAATCATTACAAATATTTACTGGCATATTTCATTTTTTTGCTTATACATTTGTTCTATGCCATGTATAAGTCTTGACAAGACAATAATAAAGATAATATTTAAAACTTTATTTATTAGATATTTACTTTATTCGATGAAGACTCAAGCTTAATTAAAACTTTATTAAAATTGAAATTCTATTATAGAGATTTGAACTTTTTTTAGTCAATATTCGAAATCCGAATCATATTCATGGAAATTCCTGTTTAGCAAACACTCACTCTTTTAAAGGAAATATGAGTCAGGATTGTGTCATAAATTTCATAAGCTTACGCCTACAGGGATATTTCATATATATATATATATATATATATATATATATATATATATATATATATATATATATATATATATATATATATATATATATATATATATATATATATATATATATATATAGGACGCACCTTGTATATATATATATATATATATATATATATGAAATATCCCTGTAGGCGTAAGCTTATGAAATTTATGACACAATCCTGACTCATATTTCCTTTAAAAGAGTGAGTGTTTGCTAAACAGGAATTTCCATGAATATGATTCGGATTTCGAATATTGACTAAAAAAAGTTCAAATCTCTATAATAGAATTTCAATTTTAATAAAGTTTTAATTAAGCTTGAGTCTTCATCGAATAAAGTAAATATCTAATAAATAAAGTTTTAAATATTATCTTTATTATTGTCTTGTCAAGACTTATACATGGCATAGAACAAATGTATAAGCAAAAAAATGAAATATGCCAGTAAATATTTGTAATGATTCATTTCCATAAAAATAAAGCTGGAATCACACTATGCTCGGTTTCTTGAATGATAAGCATGCATACATGCATACTGCTATGCTTAATTTGATGCATGCAGTCCAGCGTTTGACAAATAACTATGAATTGTTCCTAAAGAAGAAATTGTTTCTAAAGACGCTAACAATAGCTATGTTCAACAGAACACAACAGTTTTGCAACAGTTTTATGGTTGGGTGTTTTTCCAACGTACACAGGTAACACAGTGTTATACTGCTCGACACTGTAAAAAGCTAAGTAGGAGCGGGTAAAATATATCAATGTTACCAACTTTTCAAAAAGTTATTTGGTAGCCATACTCATTTTGCAATAAAATCTTCAAAAATCACCAATTCTGAAAAAATTATAAACCTGCATATGCGAGCAATCTTCTCAATTCTTTGTGGAATGTTCCATCCGTTGGCCAATAACTTTGAAGTAGTATTGTCTATATCTTAAGTAATATGTTGACTGCACATCTGTATCAAGTATCTAAAGATGACTCAATGAAGAAGCCAAAACACATAATGCGTAATCTCTAGAATTTTTATACAATTAATATCATATTATATCATATTATATTATCATAGTAATATCATTTATATCATATTATTAGGTGTTGGAATTAATTCGTAGCGTTTTACAAGTGATGGGAAGTACTTTCATTAATGTATTTTTTAATGCTCATGTGAAATAAATAACATTCTTTCATTAAAAAACGCTACGAATTAATTCCAACACCTAATATAAATCTTTTATACACAATTAATTGTTTTACTGACTCTTATGTGCCCTTCACATCTTCATATAATATTTTTTGAAAAATTAAGAGTCCCGTACTTCTTGTTAGTTGATTTTAAAAAATTATAACTTAAGTCTAAATAAAAATCATAAATCTATTATTGATACGCTAAATATAATTATAAGAATAAAAATGGAAGACTACAATGCATTCTGGTATTACATTATGAAACTAAACTGTGTTCTAACAAGTATCTTACACAATAGAACACAGTGTAAGTATTCTGTGTCCTAGTTGAAAAACAGCCATTGTCTGCTGAGATAGGACCAGTCTTCTAATCTAAAAGTGTACTCCAATCAGCGCAAAGAAAACTTCCAATAATTGCATAATAAACGTTTTGCTAAACGTCAATAATCTGCTCATATGACTATTCTTAATCATTTTGAGTGATGCAAGGAAACAAACTATGGAATAATGCATAAGAAACACCAAATTCAAGCAATAAAAAGCATTGTTGATTAGATAGAGCGGAAAATTCGCGTATATCTTGACAAGAGATCAGTCGAATCTGATACCCAATTACGTTTCAGATTTCGTTTTTCTTTATGTAGACGGAACGAAATGTCAAGTGCAGCGAAGTATTCGTGGCCATACATCCTTAGTATTAGAGGTACGAGAACAAAAGATCCCAAATTCAAGTCCCGATTTGCTCTATCAATTTTTTCACTGCTTACTTACTATTGATAATGTAACATCAGGCTTACAAGATAACGCTAACAGCAATATATGGAAAAATATATCATGTTCGTGTAAGGATTTTCCACCTCTTTGATGCATATCAGCATGCTGCACTTAATGCATGAACTATTCTAGTAAGCATCAAGCATAGCAGTATATATGTTTGTTATTCAAGAAATCAAGCATAGCGAAATTCCAATTTAAAAATTATAAATTGATAAACATATAACCTTTTTTTTCTTCTACAACTTATGTATATATTTTTTGTATAATATGTGAATATTCACGATCCAACTATTTAAAAAATATATCATGAGTATGTACACAAAAAAAGTGTGTCAATAAAAAGAAATTTAATAAGAGAGGCAAAATTCAAAAGTCAATCTCTTGGCGAAATACATTTCTGCAAATCTCAGAATACGTTGTATTACGTTCTCCTTGTAATATTACTTATAGTAACAGAGAAATAGAAGACAGAAAGAGAAAGAGAGAGCAAAAGAATAACAAAGCCTCTTCTTTGCTTTCTCGAATATACGCGAAAATGATGGAACCTAAAAAAAATTACTTTGGCCTTAAA